CCAGTGGTAGAGCCAGGGAGGAGACTGGAGAATATAAATGTGTGTAATGTAGCGCACATGAGCTTGGCAATACCTGCTCTCTGTCATATGCCAGGCATTCAGACCTATGGCTTTAACAGTGCATCACCACACATAAGAGTTTAGATTAAAAACAGGTAAAGGTTACAGTAAGTGACTGACCGGCCAGGGAGTTGAATCAGTGAAAGGTCATCATGTACATGCCATCACCAAATGTGTGAGCTGGTGTGTGTTTCCCTGAAGGCAGTATCATTGCAAAAACAACAATGTCAGTGTTTTCTGAGAAAGAAGAATACTCGCTAACTGGCAGAGCTAATCCTTCATTTTCGAAGAAAGCAAACACACTTTGTTCAGTTCTAGCCTTTATTTTGATGCTCAGCCTGAACCTCTGATATTTTATTTAAATAATAGCCAAGCTGATGAATAAAGGCCTCATTTGGCTTTCATTTATCTTGATACATTTTATAAATGGCCACTGAATGTCTGTTTGAAACCTGACACGTCAGGGGCCTGAAACCTCCTTTTTTCATGTTTCCTGTTGTCCTTTTACAGAAAAAGCTCCAGTGGCTGATGCTGAAGAGGTGCAGAAGGCTGATGTCTCCTCCACAGGACAGGGGGTCATTGATAAAGATGCTCTTGGGCCCATGATGCTGGAGGTAGGTCCAGCTTCTGTTACCACACCGAATACAGTGACACAGAACATAGATGCAGTGATGTTCACATCTGACACAACAGAGGGAAGAAGTGAACAGTTTTAATTCAGTAGTAGTTTAAAATGAGGCAGTACACCATAATTTCATGTAACATGAGAATGACTGTTGGATCTCTCCTCCTGCTCTAAATGCCACATCACACCAGTGCAGTTATGGCAAAAGGGCAAACACTGAAACAAATCTGTCATCGTATGTTGTCTGAAACACATTTAGTCTTTCTGACTTTGTTGTTGCACTCTACAGTGACGTAGAGAGATAAGAGTTCCTCTGGCTAGCAGCAATGGCGTCATCGAGCCTACTCCAGTGTGTGTGCACGGGGTGTGTGGTGACGTATAGCATGGGACCCAGTGAAGTATAAATACCTTACTGAAAGGCCAGATTAGAATAGGAGAGGAGGAGCTTGACCTCACACACACACACACACACACACACACACACACACACACTCAGAGGATCTATACAGTAGCTTTCACCAGACACAACATTGGTTTGAGATCTAAAATTCTTGCCAGACCCATCTCTGTTCTGTTCTACACCAGTGTTAGGATGATAAGCAGGCCGACTTAGAGGAGGTTTGTGTAGACATGTGGCAAGCTAAAAAGACGTTAGCAGTCTGTGCATGTAGCTGAAAAATGCTGCGTTGACTAAAGTGATGGAACTCGCACACATTGTGCTAAACAGGCCAAAGCCTAGAATTATGAAAGCGCACTGCAAATTACTGCTTAGTATTTTTTTGTGATATAATTAAGGCACTCTGTTTGAACATTTTTACCCTTTAATACCCTCTTTATTTATTTTAATACAATCTTTGGGCAAAAGAAAGGGTTTGACTTGGGCAGCATTATACAGTTCTTGTTCAGTGATGTGTCTAATGGTTTGCGTCTTATCGGCATGTGTCTGTGGTCCGCTTTCTCTACTGTTTTAAAGCACATATTCATCATATTGTAGACCTAAGAGAAAGGTCATTGTCTATAAATTACAGTCTAGTTGTCCTCTGTGTGGGGGATTTCTTGCTTGCTCGCAGAGTGCATGTATGTTAAACACATATTCATCTTGAGCCTGGATTTGTTGAAGATTTTGGCCAAGTATAATGTGATAGAAGAGCAATCAGCCTCTATTCCAAATATCTTCAAGTTCTTATTAATATGAAAAAAATTACAGGGCAAGCCTCAAACTGTGAAATGGTCAGACATTTTTTACCACATTGATTCCAGCACTCCAGCATCAGTCCTATAAGCCTTTAATTTTGGAGTCAGGACCTTATGCTGGTTGTCATAGCCTGCCTTTCCTATAGCCTACATAGATCATTCCACTCCTCCAGACCAGATTTTTTTTATCCTATTTCAGTTCGGTGCAGACACCAGTGTAGCTTTGGGAGATTTCTTTTGTATATTTGTGATATCAGATGTTTGGTTATGAGCAGCACATTTTATGCCCACACTATGCAAAATTGTTTAATTTACTCCTGCATGAAGACTGTTTACTGTAGACCAAGCAGATCTTTCTGGTTAAGTACCACATTTGCTAATATAAAATGAATATAAATGGTTACACTTTGAATGGTGTTTTCTATTTTATTTTAGCAGTTAGACACACCCACAATGGAGGAGCAGTACCTTTTCAGATTTGCTTCTGTTGAGTCTAATCAGCATTGTTTTAAAGTTGAAGAGATGAATTAACAATCCAGTCTTTCCCATTTCTCCCTCTCACCTTCTTCTTTCTCTGGCCACTTTTTCACCTTCTTTCCTCTTGTTCTTTTCCACTTGCTGGCCTTACACATTTATTTCTTCCTCTAATCACCTTCCACCTTGTTTTTTATTTTTCATATTTTCATTTCACCCCTTTGTTCTCCATCTGTCCTGTCCCTTTTACCATTCTCTTTCTTCTCCTCTTTTCTCCTTTTCATGATTGCTCTTTGTCTTTATCTCATTTACTAATACCCACTTTCTCCTCCCCTCAGGCCCTGGACGGCTTCTTCTTTGTGGTCAACATGGAGGGCAACATAGTTTTTGTCTCGGAGAACGTCAGCCAGTATTTGCGCTACCAGCAGGAGGAGCTGATGAACACCAGCGTCTACAGTGTGTTGCATGTTGGAGATCATGCTGAGTTCGTCAAGAACCTTTTGCCCAAGAGCCTGGGTAAGAACCACAGAGGGTTTTAACCGGAACATGCAGCAGTGACAGAGAATTTTTGTTTTTATTTCGTAGCTTGGGGCTCTGCCATCTTGACAGAACCCGGACACTTCTTCCTGGCTAATCACGTAGCTTTTCAATTTCTACTAGCAACACCCTTCATAATATCAAAAAAGAAAAATAGTTGAGAAACCTTTGTTAGATTGTGAATTAATGCAAAGTTAAAGGCTACATAAAATATATTTCTTTATCTTGCAGTCAATCATCAGAGCAGTGATTCATCCAACAGGAACAGCAACACATTTAACTGCCGTATGTTGGTCAACCCTCACACTGATGGTGAAGGCTGGTCAGCATCCGACCAGCAGGATGTGCCACAGCAGAAGTATGAGACCATGCAATGTTTTGCTGTCTCTGAACCCAAGTCTATCAAAGAGGAAGGGGAAGGTATTGTTTCAAACTTAAATTATCGTACTTTCTTGTTTGTTCTCTGCCTAATCATCTCTTTCTTAGTCTTTTGTTTGGATTTCACTTTTCACATTTTTCTGATTTGGCCTGCTGTCAGTGTTTTTGTTGCTTCCTTTTTGCACTTCTTGTTTTTCAGTGGGTCCCTCTACTGTTATTTGCATGTATTTGTTTTTGGCTTCCCAGTTTTTGCCCTTCCACTCCTACATACTACATGTTATTTTTGCCATCTTTCCACCTCTTTCTGGACTTTCTGTCACTTTCCCATCACTCTCTCCATCCCCCGTCTCCAAGTCTCTTGTGTCCTGTCCTCCTTTCATCACCACTTCTCTACTTTCCCTCCTTCCACCGGGAGAGACTAATTAGTGTGTGGCACTTTGTCATCTTCCCATCTTATCTTATCTCACACACACACATACACTCTAGGGAAAAAAATGTGTCTGATGCTCTAATTTTAGATGTCTGACAGCCAGATATTGTGCCAATCTGTCCTCCCATCCAAGAGGCGTATATCTGGTGGAGAGACTGGGGGCTGCAGGTAGAAACTGAGGTTTACATTGATGTTTAGATCGAGGCTTTGACTCATATTCTCTGACGTCACTATTGTCCTATTTGAAGCTCCTTCAGTTTCTAGGGTGGATTGTGAGAATAATGGTAGGTAGGAGGCATGAGGCCCAAGTCAGTGGTTAAAGATACACTCAGTGGCCACTTCAGTACACCTGCACGATCTAATACAGTTGTTTGCCATAAAGTCTACTTTTATGATTCCTACAGTATAATCAGTTTTTTTGCTACTGTCATGGAGGTGTAAATTTATATGTTTTGGACTGAGGTCATAGTTTGTGAAGGTGTTGTAGTGGTCTGCATCCTGTTCAGAGGGGTTTCTACTATCCTCTTTGAGACAGTAAGGGAAATACAGTACAGCAGACCTGTTGTCTTTGGTTTTTAATAAGGGAAGCACTGAGGTTATAACAGGTGGGGAGCCAAAACAAGACCTCCCCAGAGAGGGGAGCTTAAAGTTACCTTCAATTGCACACAGCATGATAGGGAAAACACCTAGAGCTGAAATGACAGTGTGGCTTTATGTGACAGCCCTACCTCTGCATTCTTACATACATATCATGTATTGCAAGACTGTATTGCATGTAGGTGTGGTTTGCATGCATGTAAGATGTCTTGATGAAAGAATGTTTTTTAACCTATAATTTTATGCAGATTTCCAGTCTTGTCTCATCTGTGTGGCAAGAAGAGTCCCTGTCAAAGAAAGACCTGTGATGCCAACGTATGAGAGCTTCACCACGCGACAGGACCTTCAAGGTAGAGGAAGACTGGGAGGTTCCACTGTTAATGTGATCAATGTAGATTAATGTAGTAGTTTGTTGTCCTCACCCTATATGATAAATATGTTATAGGTTGTTTGAAAATACAGTGTGTGTGAGTGTGTGTGTGTGTGTGTGTGTGTGTGTGTAGCTGGTAGATTTGTTAGTGCTTACCTCAGAGACACTTGAGATGCTTGCTGACATGTGGTCCACTGGTTAAGGGACTTCTACACCATTGAGTAATTTTCCTCCCCTACACAACAACAAAGACATGACTGCTAATATCAATGCCATCCTCTACCTGTCCAGGTAAGATTACATCATTGGACACCAGTCTACTGCGGGCGTCCATGAAGCCGGGCTGGGAGGACCTGGTTCGGCGTTGCATTCAGAGGTTCCACCTGCAGAATGATGGAGAGATGTCCTTCGCCAAAAAACACATGCAAGACGGTGATTAACTAAAATTAATGGAGGTTTTTGCAGCCAAAACATGTCAAATTCCCTGAATTGAGTGGTTGCTACTATATGTTTTACCAAGTTAACCAGTACATCTAACATGTGCTCTTAGCTACTAAACTGGTTCACTATGGAGTTGCTGAGTATTCAATACTTTGAGGAATCAGTGGTTGGAGCAGAAGAAGTTACCTAATACCCATGCTGGAAACCCCTATTTTTATGTTTTCGGGGAATTATTTACCTTATTTTCCTAAGGGAATTTGTCTCTTTCTGTCTATCTTTCCAGTGTTGAGGAATGGCCATGCACTCAGCCCTATGTATCGATTTTCCCTGGCAGACGGCACCATTGTCTCAGCTCACACCAAGAGCAAAATGGTCCGATTTCCAGCTATCAATGAACCACAGCTCTACATGTCCATGCACATCCTGCAAAGGTACCAGCCACTCTTTCTCTACTGCAAAGTATCCATCTGGCTAAAGCACTGAATTGAGTCTTAAGGTCCTGGTGCATTTGGTTATTTGGAAAAAAAAAAAAGATAAATTCAGTTAGTTTCTTGTCCAACAGAAAAGAAAAAGGTTTGGATTAATTTAGAGATCTTTTGTGCATTGTCACTAGTCTCATCTTTAAAAAGTTGCATCAGAGTTCTCCTCTGTTTTCTATTCTTGCTTGTCTAAAACCACTGTTTTTCTTTGGTGGTCTTTCTGGGCCTAATTCTCTTCTATTGTGCCAAGAGCTTTACAAGACAGGGGTCTAATTTGTCATGAACAGAGGGTCATACCAATTGTGTAATACTGTATATTATTGAATTAATTAAATTGTTCTTTTTTTGACAGGAATATAACTTAGTAAGTTCTTGTCTATAAACAGGAGGCACCAAAGGGGGACACTGCAATGTGGTTTAAAAAGAAAGAGCCTGTTATTCAGAACCAGTACAACATGTATAGACCAAAATTGACACGAGCACTACCAACCTGTCCACTCTACAGTGCCTCCATTGCTCCCTCCTCTCACTGAGAGCGAATCCAACTCAACCAGCATCCAGCCATTGGTATGACCGTTCAGAGTCAGGAGTTGGATAGTGGTCAGAAAACAATGCCAGGACTGTTACCCAGTGCGTTCGGGGATCACTGGCGAGAACTTGGCCTTCCATAAGTTTCACATTTGAAATTGTCACACAGCGAGAGCTTTGTTCTTTGGAGTGGAGCTGAAGCCAAGCGATGTTAAAAGCTTTTTCTCTGTTACTGCTTTAGACCTCGACGCAACTTTTTCTCAGTTGTGTAGACTGTTTCAGAGCTGCTTTGTGTATTGCTTTATGCTCTGACTGACTGAAGTACAAAGAAGGGGAGTTATTTATCCCTTGCATGGTTGTCTTCTTACTGAATCCAAAATGCTGGTGTCCCGTTTTAAAGAGACAGATATCAAATTTATGAATTTGCTGGTTTAAATCAATTATTAGACCCAAAAATATCTCAGATCAATGTTCTCTGTTCTCACTTACTAGCTTCTATTTAGCTGCCAGTTATTGTGGTCTTCTTTGAGTGTTTTTTCCAAGTGAAAAACTGTGTTCTAAATATGGTTAACACCCTTGGTAACATGACATTGTACAATAAATGCCACATATACGGTACATGTCGCTGGTGAGCCTTACAGTAGGTACTGTGTCACACTTCCTGGCTGTTAGCTGTTTGGAGTTTAGCTACATTTTACTTTGTAACCAAGTAAAGCAGTAAGAGAAAGACATTGTTATAGTCTGCACTGTTGCTAAATCACACCAAAAACATAAGTATGGAAGTATATGTCAAAAAGCTAAATTACAAGGGCTACAGCATAAAAATGACATTGTACAAGATTCCTCCTCTTAAAAAATCTTTCTGCAGCTTGCAGTATTTATCCTTTACATGTTGTATATGTATGCATTTTGTCATGCCTAATCAGTGAACATTGGCCACCCTCCTATGTCCTAACAACACCATTCATACATCTGCACATACAGTACAACTTGCCTGTGTCTACCTAGCACTCCACTGAGGTGGGTCTGATTCTTGCATCTGTTTTCTTTTCCTTCTAGGGAGAACATGTGTGGCATGACTGCAGACGTACCTGGTGGCCAAGGCATGGCCAAACCAATGACCCCGACCAGTGTGAGTGGTCCCACCCCTTCCACTGATGCCAGTGTCACCAGCAACACCCCTCACTTCACACCGGCTGACTGCACCCCTGGCCGTGGTTTTGGGACATCTCGGGCACCCACGCCTCAGGGGAACAACAATGCATTGAAGCTAGGCAGCCCTTCAGCACAGGGAAGCCCCAGTGTCACCTCAGGGGCCCAGGGTGCCATGTTGTCTCCTCGTCATCGCCAGAGCCCCAGCATGGCAGCTAGCAGCGGCAGCTGTAGTAGCCCTCACCTCCCCCAACATCCCCCTGGTCCTTTCTCTCCTGCAGCAGGGCTTCACTCACCAGCGTCTGTGTGCAGCAGCACAGGAAACAACCAAGGGTTCAACTCCCACAGTGCACTGCAGGCCATGAGCCAGGGCCATCGGGCTTCCCAGGGGCTCAGTGAGGGGCAACAACCTGAGTCACCTGACAGAAAGCCAGCTGGTCTTCAGAGCCCTCTTCACAGCAGCAGCACTGGCAGCCAGCTAGCCAAGAACAATCCCAGCTTAGAGGCTGACATATTTGGAACTTTTGGGGCACAAGCCTTGTTGTCAACTCAGAGCCAGGAGGGTGAGCAGGGGGAGGGGAAAGATGGTGATCCTGACAGCTTCGGAGGTAATGGAAGTTTCAGCGAGCTTGGCGATGCCCCAAACCGCCTTCTTAACACCAAAGGGCACACTAAGCTGCTACAGCTCCTCACCACCAAGTTAGAACCCTCGGATCCCTGCTCACCACAAGGGTCCCTGGGGGATGGCCAGAACTGTAAGGACCAGCTGAGCGGGATTGGAGGTCTGAGTAGGGCTGGGCATAATAACCACTCCACTTCATTAAAGGAGAAACACAAAATTCTCCACAGGCTGCTGCAGAACAGCACCTCACCTGTGGAGTTGGCCAAGCTAACTGCTGAGGCTACCGGAAAAGACTCCACTGGGAATGTGTCAGCCACTGGGGACAACGTGGCCACCCTGGGGGAACTCTGCACAAAACAGGAGCCGGGGAGCCCCAAAAAGAAAGACAATGCATTGCTACGCTATCTGTTGGACAGGGATGATAACAGCATCCTGGATAAAGCCATCAAGATGGAACCTGGTGATGCACCAAAGCTGTCCAACATTAAGACAGAGAAACAGGAAGTGGGTTTCAACGTGACAGAGCAGGTCAGTGTCTTTACAAGCAAGTTGGATTGCAAACTGGAGACCTATTATAGTATTGTGTAGTAAAATAAATATCTTTGGGTTTTGCACTGTTGGTTAGATATAATATACATTTTCCTGAAGAGCCCACCTTGGGCTTTCGAAATAGGGGAAAAATTGGCATTTTACTGCATTCTGACATTTTATAGGCATATCTATAAATCCAAAAGTAAATGGCAGATGACTTCAAAACTGAAACCACTATTAGTTGAAGCCTTTTTCAAGGTAGTCATTTATCAAACATATTTCTGTAGCCAGTTATAGAAAATAATAACAGTCAGAATTCCTTTATTTCCCCCTTACACATGAAGAGTTCTGTCAAATGCACAGAAATGGACAGGACATCTTTTGGACTTTGGTACAGTAACTAATATAATGGTACAGAGACTATAGGGTACAAGATGGGAAAAGTCAGTCTAATCTTTGTCAGTGGTGTAAAGGTCACATTATTCTGTATTGTTATAAATATAATTCAGAGAGACACTCAATGGGGTTGTGTGTGAAGCAGGACAGGAGTGATTAAAATCATTATTGGTACAGAGAAAGGATTGGGGGTAATTAGAAGGGGATTCATTGTTGAGACAGGATTAGTAAATATGATATAGGTCATATTTTCATATTCATATCATATTTTCATCATTCCAGTAGTATCTGAGAAGACTTGTTTGAGGAGACGGCTGATTAAGCGACACATAATGGTAACTCAGTAGGAAGAAATATTTAAGGAATCTGTTCCGTTTGACGTATGGATGTTTTTAACAGCTCCTACAAACACCTTTTACGTGAGAAGCACAGTGGCTGCTGAGCTGATGCTTGGTTGTCAGATGTGTGCTGAGTTTCTGTTTAGGCAGCCTCCCTGAAATAAAATGCTCTGGCATGGATGGACAGGTTAAAAGCTTAAGCGTATGTGTGACCGAGGGAAAGCGAAACTTGATCAGTAGGTAACTTAAACCTCATTAAGACCAAGTGACAAGAATCAGACACACATCAGCACTCAATCTCAGTGTGTTTCAACTTTCACAGCCCTTCTCCCTAAAGAGGTAAATCCAAGTCAGGCACTGCCTGGTTTTGGGGAACATACATGTTTTTATTGTTCAAATATTTTGAACTCTGGTGTAGCAGTGATGCGCACGCCACTACGCTACATCTGTCAGCACTGCTTTCTGCTTGTTGGTTCCTCCTCCTGTCTTTTTGCCCACACTTGCATTTTTTGTCTTCCAGAGGTACGCAAGTGGCAAACTCAGACACACTGGTGGTTCTTGGCATCACCAGTATTTAACACTTTAGCACTCCCTTTGTTACAGGTATTGTTTAGGTAAGTTTAGCCTGCTAAAAGCGGTGTCATTCTTATTGAGAGTGCAGGTGCACTGACGTAGCTGAAGTTTGTTTCAGGAAGAGGTATAAGGAGGATGGCTGAGGATCAGAAGTCAGACACGCTCAGAGACGAAAGCGATCCTCCTACCAACAGTTGTGCCTCCGGGGCAGTGGAGACTGCTGCTGGAGGGGAAGAGAGCTGTTCGGGGGCTGTTGGCACACAGAAGCTTCTGGTTTGTAATTTGTAGAATTAGGTGAGGTTTTGTTGAGCTTGTGTTGATGATGCCAGGAAGGTGAGGGTTAGACTGTTCTGATGATTTAGCCCCCTACCAGAACAAGGAGCAGAGCAGAAGGAAGATGAAGTTGAGGACAATGTAGCAGAAAGATCAGCATGTCTCTGTAGAAAATGTGAGTACATTTGCTTGTGTGTGTATTCCTCTGTGTGTGTGTGTGTGTGTGTGTGTGTGTGTGTGCACAATCAAACTTTATTTGGCACCTTTTACAACCACCTGCAGTACAGAGTGCTTTAAATCAGAAGTTAGAATTAATTTAGAGAACTAAAGCATAAAGTAGTAAAAACAAGATTGAGTGGAATGTGTAGGGAGAAAGTGCAGAAAAGCATGTGACAGTGTATATGAGTTATGGAGTGTGTTTGTGTAGTACTGTGTACATAATCTATATTTTTGTAGTGTTTACATTATTTTTAGTGTAGTTAACACTGGTGCTTGTGTGTGAGAAAGCAAATTGTGTGCATATAATTTCATAGAGGGTAATTGTATGTTTAAATACAAAACAGTATGTGATTAATGTCTAGCTGTGTATGTCTGATTCAAAATGTGGAGCATGCAAAATATGTCATGCTTAAGTTGGCACATGAAATGTGACTTTTCCATTCTCCTCTGCAGTGCAAAAAGGCACTGGGTTTAACTAAGGTCTCAGGGCCTGGCAGAAAATCAGGGAGTTGTGTGGTTGCTCATGAGAGCAGCTGTCTCCATTAAAACCAATGGCCTTTTGCTGCACTTCTGTGCCACCAGTAAGATCAGATTTTTTTTTTTTTTTTACCTCCAAGTGCAGCTGGGAGACACTATTACAAACTTTGTGCACATGTGTTATCTCTACAGTCTGCAAAGTTTTTAAGACAAATTCAAGACTTTATTTGCTAGAAAATGTTGAGCTTGCGTTGTAGCTAACTGCTACTATACCAGACATGATAATGTTTAGCATGTGCTCACTTACTGTACCAAAGTTTACATAGAGAATTTGCCTGTGCGCCTCCACAGAGTACAAGCAAAACTTGGCTGAGAGGAAGTGTTTCGATAAAACAAAGGGAGAGAACTACCACGTTTAGAAAGTAATGACCGACTGCAGTGCTGTGGCCAGCTGATGTTTAATATGTTGCATGAACAACAGATGTGGTCCACTCTGTGTGGCTAACATTAGCTAATCTATCCAACAAAAATTGGATGTTTAAGAGTTTCATATTCTCATTTGAAATTATGCCCTTGGTGTATAGCCTCCTGTGTTCACTGTGTGTGTGTGAAACAGGCCTGTGACTGTCTTACTGTACATCACACATGACCTCATTAGTGCCGGCAGTTTATTTTTAGCTCCTCCTCTATTCATTAGCCATACGGCCGGAGGATACCATCCTTCTCAGTGGTGTGTGTGTGTGTGTGTGTGTATGTAGCAGGTTAAATTACACTGTGGGGGCTTGAGTTTCTTGCAAAGTTGTGAATATCAGCTGTCATAATTTCATGACATGAATGTTTCTTTTGACATTTTGGTTTAATTTGGCACCACTTTAGATTTTTTGACTTTTTTTTTCTGTTATTTGCATGCTCAAACTAAGACAAGAACTGTATTCTACTCTTAAAGGATAAGGCTTTGTTATATTAGTATTTTCAGCACTCCCCATACAGAGACTAAAACCAACAATGGTTTATCTCTATTCATTGTTAATGACTGTCAATCTGTCAGTCCTGGATCAACAGACCAGTGGAACACAACGCTACACTGGGTGACATGTGCCCTCATTACAAAACACCACATCCTGACTTTTGCTAAGATTATCAAGAGATCTGCATGGGCCCCTGACTCTTGCTTACTTCAGGTATTGTAAAAGGTTTGTCTGTTCGGTGCCTTTGCAGCAACATTTTAAAAAAATAAGCTGATCCAGTACTCACGAACATTAGTAGTGATGTTTGTACCTAAAGCTTCCCTCACTCTTTGGCAAAAGGTTTCATCACCTAAGAGCCTGCGTTTTGCTTAAGAAGCTTCAAGAACAAGAACATGTTTTACTGATTAAGGTTGACCCCGGTAGTAAAGCAGCACATGTGCACTTTTAAATTAAGGATCTCGTGTAATTGAAAAATCTTGTTTGTGAATTTCTGGATTCTAAAACATGTACATTTTTTGTCCTTGAATTTCAGCAGACAAATCCTTAAATGTTGTTGAGATGACCTTGGAATTCATATCAGTGGGTGTGGGAACTAATGAAATGCTGCACATTATAATGTCTTTTTTCATTACAGGGATGCTGTAGCCTGATGCCAGTGTCAGATGATAATTTATATTTTCTATGAAAGTGTCAAAAAGCTTGAATATTTCTACTACTACTACTACTTTTGGCTGCTCCCATTAGGGGTTGCCACAGTGAATCCAATTCGCATGAGTAATTTGGCACAGTTTTTATGCCGGATGCCCTTCCTGACACAATCCTCTCTATTTATCTGGGCTTGGAACTGGCACAGAAGTCATTGACGTGAAACCCCTATGACTAGATAAAATGCTTGAATATTTCTATTCTTGAATATTTCCATCAGACCAGTGAGCTAGAGGACCTGCTGGAAGATCTGCAGAGTGGCAGCAAGCAGCACCTATTTGGGAGCCAGACGTCAGTCAGAGGACCCTGCTCTTCTTTGTCCTCTTCTTCCTCTGGGCCGCCTGCTTTGCCTGTGGACAAACAGACCATCGTCAGCGATATTTTGCATATGACTGAGAGCAGCGGCGGCAGCAACCCACCTAACCAGCACAGAGCCTTCCCTCCACTTGGTTTGTGTCCAAGATAATTTGATGATTTCTGAAGAATTCCTCAAAACCTTTATAGTCTCTATATGAAGCATTTCTCTCAGCATATGCACAATACTGCATATAACAAATAAGAAAAACTAAAACGTGCCTCTACCGGCAGGATTTAATGGTGCCAGGCTGGGCCAGCCGGGTCGAGGTGCTCCTCCAGTCAGGACCATGTCTCTGGACAGTACTATGGTCCCTAACCCAAACGCTACCAGGCCTTTCCCTCCTCAACACAGGAACAACAGCCCCTACTCCTTACTACAGCAGCAAGGCATGATGGGAACGCACGCGGGCATGGCCAACCAAGCCGCAATGGTCAATCCAGGTTGGACACAAACAGAAACAGTATCCTTCCTATTGAACAAATACACCCACAAGCTCTGATATCATACTGTAATCATCTCATAATCCAGCTGTTTCCGGTCTCCCCGAATCAGGTATGCTGACTAATGGGCCAATGCGGGGATCCATGCAGCAGGGCTGGGGTCCCCAAGGGCCCATAGGGGCCACTGTAGGGCCGATGATGGGTCAGGGGGTCGGACCTGGCCGCATGGTCCCCAGTGCTGCACTGCCCACAAGAGGCCCTCCTGGATCTAGAGCTATGGTCAACATGCAGATGATGGGCAATGGTGAGAAGAAGACAAGAGACTTAAAGAAACAACTCTCATTAAAACCTGAACTGATTCTGATTCGAAGTGTGTTTTTCCTTCCTTCAGAGATGGAAATGGCTAATCCCAGCTACTCTCAGCAACAAGTTCCGCCCAATCAGACTGCACCATGGCCAGACCGAATGATGATGGAGCACTATACAAACCAAAGCAGGTGTGACATTTATTCCACCCTTAAGCATAAAACAAGAGTCATCCAATAAAATGCAGACATAATAAACAGATATTCAGGGATTCAGATGTGGGCTTTGACTGGATCCTTGGGTCTGATGATAACACAGTAACACACAATACCTTCCAGGCCACCGTACAGTATCCCCCAGGAGGACGGTATGGGGTG